TGTCTCAAATAATTTCCTTTTCAGCCAATGGTGTTAAATCTAACCAAACCATTTGGCTGCTGCCCAATGCTTACGCTGTTGTGGCAAATAATACCCCTTAAGCTGATGGCACCGTGTTGTCAGTGAAGGCAGAGAGGATCTGTGTCAAATAATTTCCTTTCAGCCAATGGTAAATATAACCAAACCATCTGATCCCAGACTCAGTTTCGTGAGGAACATTTCAGCAAAAACTTCTCTTTAACCACGACCTAGACATGTTTTAACGGCCAAGCAATCCGGGACAACTGTCTCAAACTATTAGCAAAAGTTTGGGGGTATATCAAACATCATTTTCCAGATTTTGTGCTCAACAGGTTCAACATCGGCGTTGAGGACAAGGTCATTCTCAAATAAGGTTGTATTGTGGTCCGGGCCCGAGCCTAAACGGGCCAAACGGTCCCGGACCTAACGGGCCAAATGAGTGGAACTGCCCAATGCGTTCCTAAGCCCACATGGTCTCGGGCTAAATGGGTCGGGCCCGCAGGCCTAAACGGGCTTTTTCGTTCCGGACTATTTTTTTTATCTAAGGTAATTTCTTGTAAACTATATATGTATATACTAATATAAATTGTTTATATATAACTATATATATATATATAAGGCAATATATATTTTCAATACATCTAAACTCTCTCTCTCTCTATATATATATAAGCTATAGATATAGTTTAAATTAAAGTTTACATTTAATACTTCAAATTAGAGTTCAATACCTTCAACATAATACTTCAAATTAATCTAACAAACTAGAACATTAAGCATAATACGTCTAATAATTTTAAAATAACACAAATTATCTCAAATCAACTTAAAATCTTAAATACGAATGTCTGGGGAACGCGCAAGACAACTTTTTATATGCCTCCTTAAAGAGCCTTTCCCTTTCTTTCGACGACGAGTGTAGACTCGACCACAGTTCTTGCACTTTATTATGTAAACTTCTTCATTTTCTTCTACCACATTAAAGTGTTCCAAAACAAATGGGTGCAATCTAGAATCACCGGGCATGATTTAACTTGAATTAAGAATTGGAGTTTGAGAAATGAGAGATGAGTGAAGACTTGAATACTTCAATTTGAGTTTGAGAAATGAGAGAGATTGATGAATTTGTGAGTAAAAATGAAAGAATGAGGGGGTATTTATAGTTGAGAATAGGGAAAAGGTGTAATTATAAAAAGTTTGGGGTTAAAAAAAAGTTTGGGAGCCAAATGGCTGTTTTTGAAAGTGTCAAACGGCTAAAAATGCAGTCCAACGGCTACATTTTAAATATCTGACCGTTGTCCCTTTTTAATTTTTTTTTTTTTAAAATTAGCCGTTGGGCCCGGTTGAACCGGTTGACCGTTGTCCCGGGCTCACGGTTTTTTGGTAAGGACCGGCTCGCTATGGGCTTTTGCACAACTAGAGACCGGCCCGTTTGAGACTGACCCGTTTGGCACGCGGTCCCGGGCTTGGCCCGGCCCACAATACACTCTTATTCTCGAAGGGATAGGGAATGTTATGAATTGGGAAAGTAGGTAGATAAGGTTGGTTGTGTAATAAATGGGCTGGGCCACTTTAGCAGACGGGCAGACCAAGGAATTGGGCCAAGTATGAAGCCCAATAGCGCCGACTCTCTCATTCAGCCCAAATGGAAGTGAATAAATACGGTTAGTTAGGTAGTGGAAGGGAGTTAGTCGATATTTTCAGTTACACTCTCCACTAGTTCTCTATCTAATTCCTTCTTCTAGATTCTTCTTCTCCTCTTCTTTCTTAAACCCAATTCTTCATTTCTGACAGTTGCATGTAATAACGAAGGCTATTATCCATTGAAATTGAATAAAGAGTTCCAATTGTTCTTTTCAATTTCTGAATTACTACTAAAAGCTAAATTGAATCGAGGCATAACAGTGCATAACTTAAAAAGAAACATAGTTGAATAACTGAACATAATTGAACAATGTTTCTTTCTCTAACCTTATTTTGGTTTGTTGCAAGAATTTATTTGTAGAATAAATATACATAGTATAATACTGACATAATGAAGGTATCTTTGCATTTCTGTTGAATTGTTAAGGAAGTTATATCCGCGAGTATTATACATCTCTTTTTCTTGTTGATGATGTTTGTAAATATGGAAGAAAATAATAGTAGATGGTTGGTGATTACCGATCTGTCACGACTTGACAAGGTACAATAAACAAATTGATTAGTGAACTATTCGAATATAACCAACATCCTAATTAATCAGTCAATAGATTCATATAAATTTCGCACTATTTCTCAAAGTTATGGTTTGCTTTTATCATATATAGCTCAACATGGTAATTTGGTTGGGCCGAATCCAAGTGCAAAGTCATCAGATGTAATACAATCAGAAAATGAAAATTTTGATAACTAGATGTCATTTGTTTAGGCCGAGTCCCTGTCAACGATGGTTCGTGTTTCCTAATCTTCTTTGCGATGAAGTTCTGATGTTAATTGGCCCTATTTTTATTTCCGTGTTCTCATTATAAATTGAACTCATGTTAGTCTTAAACTTATGGTGCACTAAATGAATTGTTTATTCCAATTAATCCTTGTCGCTTTATCTGTCACAGGGCATGCAAATTATCTTACGCCAAGCAAGAAGATTTGGTCTCTTTTTTTTTTACTAGTACCTGCCAATTGAAAATCAAAACCTTGCCGCACGGTTGTTGTCCATAGCCTTGAATTGGGAGAAAAACAAACACACCATAAAACATAAACTAGCTAATATTATATTTTTGTCATAGTCCGCAATTTATAGAAGTTGATCCGCGAAAATAAATGAAATTCCCTGTGTAATAAATTCCGCTGGTTTCACGTGCTTGTACTTTTACACAGTTTAGGCAAAAGAACAAAAGTAATTCCAAATAATGAGATGGCACAACATTATACTAACTCAGACGGTGCATCCCTAATCCCCACATTCAAGTACAAGACCCTATAAAGTCGTAAGCAAGTAGCAGCAGGAGCAAAGCACTATGTGAAGATAACCTTGTGCTAGTGAGAGTGCTCTCAGCGATCGGGAAATACAAAATACAAAAGTCTAAAAATAGCCAAGAATAAAGAGGCCTGCCCCATACAGAAATTCGCAGTAAAGGTGAAATAAGATTTCAGCGATCGTCTTCTGTTGTTTTTTAAAATACAACCATACAGCTGCCAGAGAATAGCAATAACTAAAACGAATTCTACAGAAGATCACTAGTGCCTTCAATTAAAACCCAAATAAAGAACACACCAGATATTATGTGAATGATGGCCTTCCGTGTCTTACGCTCAACTATGAGAGAAATGTGAGCTGCACTTATAGTGTCCTTTTAAACATTGTTTCTTTTGAAATGCATTTATACCGTCCTTCCATACGTAACAGACCATTGAACAAAAGGACAGTAACTCTGAAGGAAAGATTTACACATAAAGATTGAGCCTTGAACTCATGATTAGCATAACATGAAAAATATGATACAAATGCAAACTATTGCTATTGACCACAACGTGCTCGCTAACTAGAATTGATAGTCCCTATGCATGCGCTAACTTCGCCAAAAGTACCATGTCTAAAATTTTAACATCAAGAGTATCATCAACCTTTACAATCCCGTCAGTGCCATCAACACCAATAAGCTTACCAGTGGCACCACGTTGGGGACCACCCATGATCTTGATCTTATCCGACTTTTTTGGTACAACTATCTCAATTTCAGTTGGGTGTACAATGATAGTGTCACCATTGCCGCTCGATCCAAGACCAACGCTACAAGAACCATCCTGTTCCGGCGGCAAGTTAAAGAATGTAGGATTAATTTCCGCGGAAAAAGACAAATTATTCTCCTTCAAAAGGAGGTTTTAACTAGGGTACCAAGAAGCAGAAGAAAAAACCTCTTGAAGTCTGATCAATGCAATCAGTCAATCATCTTCACAGGATATGCATAACAAGTGCACATGTTGGTATGATATGACATGTGTAGCCATTAACATACTTTTATATAAGCTAAAAAAAAGTCTGCTTAACTTTGTTGGCTTGTATATATATATTACTGATGGCGGAAGAAAATATAAAAAGAAATGGCTTTAAAAAAAACATCTCATGATCTCATCAAAGTTGAAGCTTGAACAGTTTAATGAATTTAAATGCTTGAAAGTTTTGAATATTTTATGGTAATAGAATGATATCAATCATTTTGATACGACTCGAGAGTAAGAAAATTGGAGCAGATGTTATATTACAAAGTTCAAGATCTAATCCAGCAAAATCAGAGATGATTAACATTCATTCTTCTAACATGAACATCGAACCAGCAATTAAAAGGTATGAATTCAACTACAAATATAAATTATAAGTTCGCCATTTTCACTACCATTGCCTAGGATACCTTGAATAAATATTTAATAATCACTTCCCAAATTAATATTTACACGTTGAATGCATCTGCTTGGGAAGTGGTTAAGAGGTTTCTATGCCCTTCCCAAAGATAACACCCTCTACATGTTAATATTTATCACATGCACACCCATGTCATAGTTTATGAAGCAAATGCCTTCTAAAGGGAAGCCAAATCATCATAGGATATACATACCGCTAGCACGTCATGGACAACTCCAGTGACAGTATCATCATTGGACTTCCGTACATTGACCAAGATATCAGGCAAGAGCCAAGGACCTTCAGTATCCCCACCTGCAATTACAAAGTTACCAACCATTGCTGAAAGTTGAAAACAGCATTATCTAACACTCTACTAGACGAGAAGAGTGAAGTTGCACGGGAGTATCAATCAAGGATAAGACAGGTTCTCCAACTAACCATCAAACAAATCCAGTTACAATGATGTTATGATTTACATTTGGGGGCTCACATTTGACTATGGAAATGCATCATCATTAATATCAGACATTTTCATGCAACTCTCTTCCTACCGTATAACAGGTAAAACACAAGCCAATAAAGTAAAAGTTTGTATAGAACTATCCAAGAGAATCCAGATTTATATATATTTTCTATAACCATGGTATCCGGGCCAGCTACGGCGCAACTCAACTAATTCCACGGGATACCTGCCACCTCCCACCAGCAACAACCAAGAGAATCCACATATATTGAATTTACCCAACTATACACCCAAAGCTTAAATAATAAGATGCATCTGCAATAATGAACAGCATTACACGTCATTCTCCTCTATGCCTAAAGCTTCAAGCTGTAAATACACAACTGTCAGGACTTCTTTGTATTAGCCACAGTGATTTTGATTAATATTAGAGCAATTTTCACATTAATAATCAACAAATATCACTGTGAATATGCAAAAATTTAGCACATTAAGCTAAAAGACAAATTTTCAATCTAATACTGCAACGGTCTACTACTGAAACACACACTATAAATACCATCAAAAACATGGAAGACAGCTACACGCTAAAACATTGAAGTAAAATGCATGAACATGAATTACAACGCCCACTAGTTCATCCTTCGGAAAGTGGAAACGCTGATCTCAATAAAATGTTTTATTTTCCTAGAATGTAAGAGATTATGGGTAAAAATAACTAATTCTGCAGCGATCACAAGTTCACCAGCTCAATAGAATAAAATGTTTTTCATTTGATCTTTCATATTATAGTAAATTCTTTTTTGAATGAAGATATATTATAGTAATTTGTAATTCCAAAAGATACACAAACTATGGTGTTGAGCAGGGGACTCACCTCCTACAGGTGACATCATATCCAGCCCACCACTTCCAGGAGTCATTGGCTGCCCGCCTGGAGTACCAGGTATATATGCTGAGCTCGGTGTCATTGGTGGTTGTCCACCAGGAGTTGACGGCAAGTAAGGACTTGGAGCATTAGCTATATGGAATAAAGGAAAATGGCATTATTTTCTCCAACAAGGACCTGAAAAAGACGATGTAATAGGTTTTCACTCCTGTAAACGGAAACTGTTCATTACCATATGCAGAACCATTGTCTCTTGGGGTCCCAGCATCACTGTAATTACCGCTGGGAGTGTTGGTCCAACCAGAACCAGGAGTAGGTGCTTCATAAGCCCTTGAACGAGGGCTAGATGGCTGAAACATGAAGGAAGCGTCATAATCACATTAAAAGAGAAAACTTCATTTTATATGGAAATAAAGTGGAAAGAGTGAAAACCTGATATTGCGGACTTGACCCCCAGGAAGCAGGGTTTCCTTCTTCCCAATCATCCCTGGTATTTTGCCATGCAACCATTTAATATCAAGAGAATGGAATTGCAACTCACTAAATCTATGACAGTAAAAGCAACAAACTGAAATAGCAAGACTAATCTAAAGGGAGAGCATGTCACTTAAAAGTGTAATCATGAACACAAATGAAGACCAAAAATCAGCACTCACTATCTAGCTAACACACACAGGCTTTCAAGTTCAAGACCAAATCCGATCCTCACCCCTTTATATACAAAGAAAAGAATTTCAGCCATACAAAGAGGAGAAAGTCACACATCAAAGTACATGGACAGATCCCTGTTTCCATAATGTCATACTTCAAGTAAAGAAAAAGCTCTTTTTCATTTCTTCAAACCTGAGATCAATTAGTTCATGTCACGTAAGAACTAGACAGATACATGGCCTTCACTACTTCAATTTTCAAAAGCTTAAGCCATTTGGATTGTTTTCGCCAGTGATACAACATACCTAGGCGGACTCATTGGATTCCATGCTCTGTCACGCATTGGCGTCCTCATACCATCATGGATAGGTGTTGCTGTAGAGGAAATTGATGAAAAGAGATAAAGTCAAACAAGTGGGAAAAAAAGAAATGAAAAACACCATTGAAACATGGCAGCAGAAAAATGGACCTCCAGGATCTCTCATAGGTGTCATAAATGGGTGGAGTGGAGTCCTTGAAGGATGTGATGGTGTTTCACTTCCCAAACCATATCTAGATGGTTCCCTATAATAAACAGAACAACAGTAAGATGGTGAACACTCAATAACTCAAAGTTTGCAATCGGAAATATACTTACCGGAATGGTGTTGTCACGTTAACATTATCCGCAATATGATTGCGATCAACTGCAGGAAACATTGCAGTCAGCAAAGAATGTAAGCATTCAAAACTTGGGGGAAAAAAAGGAAATTTCTGCCTAAATTTGGATGATTCTGTCCAAAACGCAGATTCAGCAAAGTCTCCCTCCACAAAAATTACAAAAAGGGTTCTTTGTTTATAATGAATCACTTTTGGTCCCCCAACCCCCAACCCCCACCCCAAAACCAAAAAAGGAAAAAATAAATGAGGGCAATTACTGACATTGAAGAAACACTTGCCTGTAACAACTTTCATCTGGGCTTCCAGTTCAACACGGACTGAAGTTCCTTTGATATCTTTAACACGCCCCTTACAACCTTTAAATGGCCCAAGACGAATTTTCACATCTGCACCAACTAAAGCATCATGCCCTCTTCCACCTCTATGCCCTCTTCCATCTAGAGCACACAAAACATAAAAGTTCAAAGACTAATGATTAAACGGAAAACAGCAAAATAAAGATCACAAATGTAACAAATAGCATTTAATATAATAGCCAGATGATCAGATGGACTCCGCAGGGGGGAATAAAATTTAAAAAGAAATAACCTAAAACATCAAGATAGCACCATTATCATAAACTTACAGCTCATAGGTGGGCCACCTCTAAAAGATCTTGTTGGAGATTGAGGAGCACGTGGTGGAGTTCTGAGATTCGCAAATCTTGATGAGAAGGGGTTACCCTAGAGGAGTTCCATTGCAAGCACAAAATTCAGCCCGCAAGACAATAGTTAAGATAGAATTGAAAAATCAAAAGCGAGCTCAAACTTCCAGAAGCAAGAAAATACAGACATACATTTCGATCACCATTTGCCCGCGAGCCACCAATCAACACACAAGATTGAGTTTTGGCACAAATATAACCAGCATGCTCAAGGTGATGGCGATCATAAATAAAAACAATTCCTCTGAAGATGTGTTCTACAGGACCTTGTTTTCCCTACAAGTAACAGGAATGGTTATGATGAAAACAAACACCATGTATGAACAATGTTAGTAACAAGAAAATCTTTTGAAACGCCAATTACTCACTTTGCAAGGACCCTCGAGAACTTTTACCACGTCTTTCACCGCTAACTGGTTCTTAAACCGATCTTGGGCATTCCCTTTCTTCTCAATTTTCCCTTTGATCTCTCTAAGTCTAACAAGTGCTACCTCAGGTCTATCAGGTACACCCTTAAGGACCTATAATATCACTCAAATGTGAGCAACACAATTAACAAAATAATTCCCACCTCAAAATTATAGTATTCACCTGGAAGGCTTCACTGTCTACACGTATAATCACGCCAAAACTCTTATTGCTGCACAAAAAGTAATCAATTCAGAAAATTAGCTATTGGTTCGAAAAGGACTAAACTGTTTAATGTTACTCTTATAACAAGAAAGTGCTTACTCTAGTATTACAAGGTCATGGAGCTCATATTCCCCAATACGAGTGAGACCAGATGTTACTTCAGAGCTCTCAACAACATTATCAGCAAATACA